CACCACCACCACCACCACCACCCGACCCTCCCCAGACAACAGTCCTGCGCAAGACCAACCCAGGAGCATTTTAAGTCAATATGACCTAAAGGGGGATCCAAAGAGGTTGGGGATGGGGGCGGGGAGGGGGGCATTAAATTCAAGAAGGACGGTTTGGAAGGTCCATGAAAGAGGCCCCAGTATTGTGGGTACCCCTACATCGGGGTCACATTTGCAGGAGGGAGTGGTCTTCCCCCACCCATCTCGCCAGCCTCCCCCAGCCATACAGCTCTCTCAATGCCTTTGCACATATATTTTCCGGGGCGCAGGGGGTGGGAGGAAGCCACACCTGTTTTGCATCTGGAGGGGCATGAAAGATGTTCCCACAATTGCAGGAGGCTGAGAGGTGGCACTCCCCAAATTCCTCTGGCCCCACAGCCCAGCAGCCTTCCCCCGTGCCCATGCGCTCTTCCCCCAGTTGGCCAGGCTCACCCCCTCCCTTAAAAAGGAATTCCCCCCTCCCCGGACTCTCTAATCAAATGCCAGCCATGGGGCAGCGCTGCCCGGGCTCCAGAGACGGAGACCAGCTGCGTCTCGTGGGAACGGGGCAGGAAGGAGGGCCGTGCCCAGTCTCTTGGGGGGAGGGCTTAGGACGCCCGGTCCGGCTCTGCAGGGCGGATCTTCATGGTAGCGGATTGCAGGGGGTAGTAGCGCCCTCTCCAGGTCTTCCAGAAAATGCCTTGCTTCCTCTCGTGCCGCTGCCGTGGGATGGACCGGAAGTATTTGCCGTTCAGGTTGACGTGGCCGCAGTAGCTGAACCACCAGCCTCCTGCGAGGAGAAGAGGAGCAGAAAACGGGAGTCAGCTAGGCACCTAAGCCGACCGGAGGCGGGATGCCCTTCTGAGACCCCAGTAGGGGAGCAGCTCCGTCGATGGGCCAGAGGGAAAGATTACAGACAGTCCTCGACTTAACGACCACAACTGAGCTCCAAAATCTCTGGTGTTAAGTGAGACACTTGTTGAGTTTTGACACCATTTTATTACATTTCTTGCCACCGTTTGAGTCACCCCAGTTGTGAAATCAGCAACAAAACGGAATCTGGCTTCCCCCTTGATTTTGCCTGAATCAGAAGGTCGAAAACGGGGATCGCATGATCCCGGGACACTGCAACCGTCGTAAATATGAAACAGTCGCCAAGGTTCTGAATTTCGATCACCTGAGCAACGGGAGCTGCTGCTGCTGGGTCGTAAGCGTGAAAAAATGTCGTTAAGTCCCTCTTTTTCAGTGCCGTTGTAATGTCAAACGGACACTAAACGAACTGTTGTTAACTCGAGGACTGTCTGTATATTCCAAATGGGGTCAGAAGCTTTGAGAAGATTTTCTCAAGGGTTCTCTGCAGGCAAGATGGGCAGTTCTCGAGTTACGGCCACAATTTCGACGGGAATTAAATCATTACATTAAACTCAACTCAACTAAAAATTAAGAAATAAAACAAAACGGAGGAAACTCAATGGAGCACGAGGTCTTTTTCTGCCCTCCCTTTTCTTGGTTTCTAATTTCTGCCGCTAAGCAAGTCACCCCCAATTTTACGAACTCTGATCCCACAATTGTTAAGCAAAAATCAGTAAGTGACTCAGGCGGTTGTTAAGTGAATTTGGCCCAAAGACGCTCTGGTGCTCTACCTTCGCCCGACAGCAGAGGGTGGTCAAATAAGTCAAGATGGCGGCCGCATCGCTGCATTCAAAGCTCCGCCTGATTTTTACGGGGCCTCAATCTTCCATCGCTCTCCCAATTCTCAATCCTGGGTCAGATTTTCCCAACCCGCGTCCCCTTTAAGAGCTTGGGGGATTCTGGGAGTTGAAGTCTGCTCCCCTTCAAGGGGACGGGATTGGGGGGAAAATAAAATACCGTTTCCGCGTATCTCCTCCGTCCGCCCCCCCCACTGACCTGAGAGGTGCTTGGCGCAGTTGGTGTCGCCCTTCAGATCGTGGTCGCGATCCCGCGTGGAGAAGGGCAGCTGGGGGAAGTCCCCCATGGCGCTCTCCAGCTCCCCCCGGATGGGTCCCAGGAGGCTGAGGGTGTAGGCCGTCTCCTCCCCGCCCAGGCGGAAGAGGAAGTGGGCCCTCTGAGCGTTGCCTTCCCAATCGCGCAGCTCAACCAGCAGCTGAAAGCGATCGTCTTTCACCATCCCGTGCATTTTCTCCAAGCCCAGCCAGAAATCCCCTAAAAAAAGGAAAGGGGAGGGGAAAAAGCAAAAAGCGCCATGAAAAACCTTGATTTGGGAGCTGTACAGGGAAGTCCTCGACTTACGCCTGCAATGGAGCCTCCCCCAATGTCTGCTCCTAAGTGAGACCTTTGTTTAGGTCGAGTTTCTACTAATTCTAGTATTCCAGTATTTTTTATATTCTATTATTACCATTCCAGTATGTTTCCTGCGTTTAAGGGAATCGCTGCAGTGCAT